ACATATGAGAAAAAATATCAATGAAAAATTTGATTTTAATTGATGCCTTATTTTACGTGTCGAGACTCGGGCCAAATCAGGCCCTAACCACGCAAATTTCGCTACGCTCCTTTCACCAACTGAAGAACAAAGGAGATATTTCTTGGGCGACGAAACAGGCGATATAAATTTAGCTCAGAGGCGTCTTGCAAGTTTCCAAACCAACTTTAAATAGAAGATGTTTTCAATAACGAATCCAGAGAAATATTACAATTGAAAATATAATTTAAAGGAAGTTGTGAATTGGTAAATGATGTCCATGAGGTAAAGAATTAAAACTCATTTTTAAAAGTATTCTCTGTATTGGCAGAATATTAACTCCTTAGTAGAAGAAGAATCATCAATACATTCATGAAACCAACTTGTTTAGTAAAAATACATTATTTATCGCAAAACAATTCAATTCGATAATAGTTTTCTGCTTTGGCTACCTTCATTCTCAATATTATCAGATATCAGAATCTTACAATTGTTTCATCATCTATTAATCCGAGTGCCCACAGAATATTATTGAAGATAACTTGATTTTTTGGCTGGTTTGTTTTTACATTTAATAATATATTTAAACACATCGGGTCAGTAAAACCGGCGCAGCTTCTTGAGTTTCTTAACTACGTTCTGTGAAGTCATGGTGGTTAAGCGAATTTGAGACATTGCTGTTTACTGGTTGGGTGTTCATATGAGAATCTCGGGATCTAACCTAAGCGAGCCCCTGTCCGAAAGGTTAAAAGTCAATGACTGACTGCGACTGACGATGACTTACTAAAATCTAAAGGAGGATTACTAAAAAACAAAACACAAACAATAAAAAACACGCTGCACTCTAGTAAGTGGCCGTAAGGAACGGCACCTAGTGACAAACCGTAACATAATTATTTTAAAAATTAATATTTCTTATTTATGAGCTTTCCCATTATAATTTTTCCTACAGCCATGCTACTGCGAAAGCTACCAATTAATTAAAGAAACAGATCACATTGAAAATGAGACCAACGTCACCTATCTTGGTAGCGTTGATGGGAACTATCGAATAATATTTCTGTTGTAAAGACTAAAAACTATTTGTAGGTCACACAGATTCTGTCATGATTGCGCCTATCTCTCTATAAGAAGTTTGCTGCCCACTTACGAAGTTTAAAAGCTGTCTGACATTCAAAGTCAGTAATGGCGGAAGAGAACATTACTTCATGACAGATTATTGATTGCATGCCTCTTCAGCAAGTTCCCCCTAATTAGTAAATTAACAGATTCTGAAATTCCATATTGACAATTGAATGGTATTCGAACAATTTATAGCATTTATCTAGCCGGTCCGGATGGTCGAGATCGCTAAGGCGGTAGTTTCGTGACGAGCTCGGACCAAAGGATAGCGGGTTCGAGTCCCGCCTCGGGCATGGTTGTATTGTGTTCGTCCTTTACCCCCTATCATCATCATCATATCGTGTCATTCTCACAGTTACCACACTGTTACAAGCAATAGTGGTCGCTAATGACCTAGAAGTTGATGCAACCTTAAATAATAAAAAAAACAGCATTTATCTACCTGTATGATTGACTAATTGCTAATAGAATTCATTCAATTCAAGGGAGTGAGAGATATTCCAAGAGCACAAAACTTTGTTGTAGATGTTTGAATACTTCCTTCAACGATTAATTGTAAAGAAAATTATGAGATACTAAAAAACATATTGTAAACAATCATCTAGTTTGATTTATACCATTTTGATACTCATTTAATGAACTGAAGAATATATTGTAAAAGCACAATGATGTCTATTCATTGAAATTTTATTTATTTTCTTAATTTCAAAATATTACCACCACACAAAGAACATCAGACCGAACAAAAGTCATATTTTAAAATAAATTCCCTTTCGTGTCTAAGGAAAAACATCTTTTGTAAGTTTTAAATCAGTCGCACTGTTAGATGGCTTTTGGTGCTATTCATTCTTAATGTTTTAATTAACCAAGGCTGGCAAGAACATTATTTTGAATAATACGCTGACGAACCCTTAAAACGTCAAGCGATGATTGGTATTTCCTTGCATTGTTTTGAGGTTCATCCTGGCGACGCTGCGAAGCAGAACGGAGAAGGGTTGCGAGTAAATATAGGAGATTTCCGATATCGACCGTCTGGGTTGCTAGCGACTCTACGCTACACCGAGAGGAAACTCGCGAATCGACTGACAGGCAGAATTGCTTCCCACAGCGTAGCACACGCTAGCACGCGAACGATTTCGTGCAACCCTTAGCCAGCCATTAAAGAGGTTATACATATAGCAGCAGACTGGACGTGAATATAGACGCCCTTTGTATAAACTGAGGTTGCAATGCAAATGAAATGTGTACTTGTGATTCTAGGCAGTATTCACTGCACCATCAGGTCAATAAAGAAATAAAAAGTTCCTCGAAACTGTTCCACGTTGAGCCGGGACCAGAATAAATCTTGGTCGGGAGGTGATGGGTGAGACGCCTGAATTGCATACAAAGGAAAAGAAGACAATCTGCTGTCGGAGCCATCACAAAGGAAAGTGACCTTTCTGGAAGTTGCATGTAATGCTCGTTTCAGGTCATCTTTAAAAAAATTGATACGGAAATAGCGAAATATTTTTAGACGTGTACGAATGATTTACGTGTGGTACACATTATTCCTAGTTATCTTTCAACATGCGTTTAATAATCAAATATGAATGTTTATAAAGTGACACTTTCTCTTTATTTTCATCGGGTCACCTGCATGTCCGTCCCTCCGACAGTCCGTCCGAAATTGTTGTTGTTGTTATTTATTATTATTATTATTATTATTATTATTATTATTATTATTATTATTATTATTATTATTTCTTTTGATAATTAAACAAATATTCTGTATGAAATTACTCACCTCAGGCGTCTCTCTTTGCTAATTTTAGGTTTCATTTTTTGTTATACTTGTTTTGAAAATAAAGTGAAGACATGGTCCAAAAATATTTTTTTGTGAAAACTGTTAAAAATTGAATGTGACATATAAATTTCCAAGCATTGTCTTCCCCTAATATCATGAAAAAATATTATGATAAACTATACCTTCTTTGAACGAAATTGTGAGTAGCGATTAAACTAATCGTTCATTTTATCAGCCGACAATTGGACTCGAGTTGTTTTTTTCCCCAAATTATACATATTACTCCATATGCGTTTCTTTGATTTGTTGTTATTATTATTATTATTATTATTATTATTATTATTATTATTAATTTGTAGGATTGTAAATCTGGCAAGATGCCGAAAATACCGCTACTTTTATTTTTCAAGAAAGGTATTCCTTCCAATTATTTTTTCAAGGTAGGACTATAAAAAATTGAATAAATGAAAATTCAGAACAACAATGACAGTTAAAAAACATTTATAATTAAAAGGTCACCAAAGATGACAGTCTATCTATTGAATATTTTTATGTGTAGTGGCATCCTCTTACATTAACACTTGACTCTTACATTACTGAATAACTAATGAATACATTACAGAACACGTAATGAGTACATTACAGAACACACACTAAATAAAGTTGCAAAACATTGTGATTTGAGTGCATAGATGCCAATTTTTTTTAAATGATAGTTCATGATAATGCTTTATGTAAGAGGATACCACATAAAAATAAAGCATCTATAATTTGAGCGGCAAACAGGAAAATCCGAGAAACGCCTCGGACAAGGACTACTAAGATTGCCATCAAAGAGCGTTTGCTAAAAAGGGCATCACTCCTATTTTAAGAACGTGAAATTTTTATTTTGATCTCATGTGGAGCCTTGATCAAAACTTGGATATTTTGATGTTCCCTAGTTTCACGAGCTAGTCTTGAGAATTTCATTCACGCTTTATTTTCTTCGGTCTAAACTGACGCCTCCCGCTGAGAGAATGATGACACCTTACACAACGAAGAGCGCGTTCTCTTTCCAATACCTTCGAAATTAGATCATGAATTTACACACGTGCTTTTCTACTCGTTGCGCTTATAAGCGTCCCCAAAGAGTGGCACTAGGCCAAAAATAGGATGAATGAGTTACGTTCGTGCCAAGTCGCTTATAGGTATCCATTCAGGAAATTCTATGGAGCAGCGAGCATGCGATTAACCTGAATTTTATACTCGATGTAAAATAAGGAAAAGTGTTGTAATAAAATTCATATTGTCGCGTACGTATTTCCTAAACTAAACAAAAGTGTTAAATTAAGTTTTTAAAATTTGTGACGTTGAGGCAAAGATCAAAATTTCTAATATACGAATACAAGAAAGTATTACTAGAAGACGAAATGCCTTGTAACAACTTTTTATTATTAAAGAATAGAGCCAGTTTCAATCGCTTTATCCAAACCTCTCAAGAAAAGGTGCGAAATCGAGTATAGCATGTACTACTTTGATGTTAAATCCCTGAAAGTGAAAAAAATTAATTCAAGAAACCTACAATTATTTTTCGTAATACTATACTGTTTTATTGACTTAACGCAAGTATATGTGCAAAGCGTCACTGTTAAGGACTGTTAACGATTTAACAGATGGTTGAGAACAATTGAAACAAATAAGTTATACGTAATGATAACGTATGAGCACTATTTCAATTGAAGATATTCCTTTTTTTATACTATTTAAGATTATATTACGGAAACTACTCAACGACACACGGCCCTAATCACATATAACAGTCGTCTTTGGTTACAAACATCGGCGATCGCTCAGTTTACCGACTTAAAGAGCAAATACCTGACGCGACTGATTTGTTTAATGACGTTTATAACTACAGTATAGCAAAAGATGTAACATTTTAAAGAAATTTTTAAAAAAATTCTAGTTCAGTATGCTTTCTCGCTCGTCATGGTTTCGTCGTTGGTATGTCAAGTATCAATCGCGCGCTCTCGTTGCTGCTGCGCGCATGCGAGAGGGCAGAGCGGAGACGCGCAGAAGCTGCGCGTGGGGCACTCACTGGGGATGCGGTTGATGGCGCGCAGCGGGCGCAGCACCCGGATGGTGCGGATGGCAGACAGGTTCAGGTTCTGCAGGTTCAGCCCGTACTCCAGCGCACTGCCACACACAGAACGCATTGGACACCTCTTCTAAAGAGAGCTGAGCGATTGGCAGGTTTACATGCAGGTCACATAGATTGCTAATGCAGGTTGTCTCAGAATAAATGTTACAAACTTCTATGTTTCAGGGATTGATTGATTAATGTTTCCGGGTGAAGCGATCATAGAATTTGTTACTGCTATGGTCAGTAGTCCTGTAAGTGTAGTTCGTGTTTTGTCGCGGGAGGTGGAGGTGATCTTTGCTCGCTGGATAGTGTGACGCGGCGTCAACCTACACGTCGGCTAGCAGGTTTTTCCCAACTAGAACCTCTCACCAGCGGGGCAGGACGTAAGCTCTCGACTGATCCCTCGACTGGTCCCTCGTCTGGTCCCTCGATTGGTCCCTCGTCTGGTCCCTCGTCTGGTCCCTCGATTGGTCCCTCGATTGGTCCCTCGATTGGTCCCTCGATTGGTCCCTCGATTGGTCCCTCGTCTGGTCCCTCGTCTGGTCCCTCGTCTGGTCCCTCGACTGGTCCCTCGACTGGTCCCTCGACTGGTCTCTCGACGAGAGTGGTAGTATAACGCGCGTGTGTGTGCGTACATAATGGGTGAGGTTAGCACAAAGAAGATGATAGAAATGTCGCGTGTGTTCCGTGGTTCGTTTGTCCGGGTACTACTCCGGCATAGCAATAGCATCCATCCGCTGGAATTCTCCTCCAGACAGCGGCTGAGTTCGACCTACCTATGAATCTACCTGGTGTCGAAAAACCTGCCACCGTCGGGACTCAAATCCTAGGATATCCTGGTCAGACGCACTGCAGTGACATCAATTTGTGACACGAGTTACCTGAACCGGTACAAACTTCAGTAGTCTGATGGGTTCGAATGTAACTTTTGCCAATGAACATTATTAGAAAATTTCGTATGAAGAAGTTAAACATGCGACATATCATCTGATTGAAATGCTACTAACAACTACTGTTTGGTATGTAGTGGCGTACTCAATGAAAGTTCGTGAATCTGTGAAGCACCAATGCATCACGAGTTCTCTGTCAATGTGGGAAAAATGTTATTCCATTAACGTCATAGTATGAAATTTCCATTTGCACTTATGTTCATTATCAGAAAGTCATTATATCTTCGTCCCTCTCAATATCTTAGACGTTTTAATATTTATTCTGAGACAGGAAAGCTTACAAATGTTATAGCTTTCATCAACTTTGTAGTAACCAGAACCAGAAAGTTTGGCAAAACGCATTATAATGAGTGATTAAGTTAAAAAACGAAATATTACGATTTTAAGACTTTTAACAATAGAAAACACAAATCGTACTTTTCGATCGACAAGTATAATAGTACTTGTTTTAAAATTTTGCACTTTGGTTTTTGTCCTACGCATTTTTTTAAGATTTGGCTCGATTTTAAATTGTTGCCTCTTTTATTTAATTATTTTTCTTTTTTAGTTCTGGCACCTATAGCCGTGTACATCCCTGGGCAACTTGTAGGGAATATCATATTACTTTGTCGACAGAGAAGCTGTATCAGTAGGAATTGTTGATTTCGGACACCAGGGCCAAAACAGCTATTAGAAATCGAGGGTGATCTGGGCTGTCCGGGTGACGTCGCGTCGAACGCTGTGTTGCGGACGTTTCGACCATCCTGTCGTGGTCTTCCTCAAGGCTGGTATGCCATGGTCACCTACATGACTCTGGCCGCGGAAGCCTACGACTTCATTTATTAGAAATGGAGGCGATTCCAATCAAAGTTTTAATTATTTTTCAAGAGTGAACTGTGAAGATCAATCCCGAACTTAGAATTCTAAGTTATATACCAAATCAATAATTTCTTACCCGGCCAAGACAATGAAGGCATCGAGTCGGTTCCATGGATCAGCAAGGTATGCACCTTTGCCCCACGCGCCCATCGCAGTCATCTTGACCGCCATCTCTATCGTGAAGAAGGCGAAGATGAGCTCGTCAAAGACCTGCAATCACACACACATTCAAGATCATGTAATGGCAATGCTTGTGATAGAGTGGTTCGGTTTTGCATGTATAACATAGATGACTGTTAATCAGGGAGAATTTATTCACGTTCAATTTATTCAGTCTATGCAGTTACTTAGACTCTCAAATAAACATATTACATTGATTAAATTGTATCTAAACTACGGTACTTTATTGAATAAATTAGAAATAACTTAATCTAAGATAGAGAGAAAATACACACTATTTGAAAACACGAAACTTGGGAAGGGTACAGATGATTCAAAATTAATTTACTGATTGAAAGAGTAGACGTGTCATAAAACTGCAAAAGTTACATTTAAACAAAACAAAACAAAAACAAAATAAAGTAAAAACTTCAATAATTTTATATTCTTTATATAAATGAAAATGCATGTGCTTGACTTAATTTAAATATACCACAATCAAATAATTATATTTTATTAGAGGTGCATGAATCACATTTAGGCGCATACAGTACGCCATGAAAACCACTTCCTTTCATGTTTTGTGCATGTACTCATTGAAATATAGTACTTGTCAATTCACAAGTTGGCAACAAGTCATGTTGTTCACACATGTTCTCATATTCGAATGAGAAAGTATTAATATTATGAGTTATTTTTTTTATCAGGCGGACTATCGAGAGAATCAATAAAGCGACATTATAACGACAAAGAAATTGCTGCCAACATCTTCAAAGAATCTGTTTACTCCCCTTAATCAAAGTTTTATTTTTCCAGGAAGGCTCTTCTGCTTTTGATATATCGTATGTTTTCAACTTGTAAATTGACATCTTTACGAGCGCTAGGTAAACTGTACAAGACGGCTTTCAAAGTCTCCAAAACGAACTCGGAATGATAGAATGTCTACAGCATCTTCGATCTACTTTGACAAGAACGTCAGAGTAAGTTAACATTCCCAATGTTGACAAGTAGAGTTCAGAATGGATTGTAGAGAGTGGAACGTCAATGTGCTGTCTTTTCAAGTGTTTGCTCGCTTTCTTTTCTCTCGTGAAGTGACCTTCCATTTTCTGAAGAAACTAAGACTGCACTCACGTCCACTTTACGAACAACCTTCAGTTCACAGCGCGCCAACTTTTTCAATCAGGTGGTGTTTGTAATTAAATTTTAATGGCTGTAATGGGTACCTTCATAGACTTTTGAAATTATCAGCTGCTTCCCTGCCGACTTCACTTTTAGCAATTACTGGGAGCCGAAAAGGGTTCTACGTTCTATTAATCATGCCAGCGTATTTTAAGCCAGAGATCGTCGTTAACATGTAAATTAAGTGAAAGCGAAATTAGCATTATAATGTTCTATTATTCTATGGCAATCAGTTTTGAAGTACTTTCATTTAAGGAAACTTAATAAAACCAATATTCCAATAGAGGTATTAATTTACGTGAGTACAAATGTACTCAACAGCTTGACGGCAACGTATTTATATTAGGTTACTTTTTCACGAGAAACATTAATCTAGGTTTTGTTGTTTTCACTGAAATATTCACTTTACTCACAACTTCCAATTGAAAAGGTTTTAAATATGCACATATTCCTCGTGTTTTACGTGTTAGTTATGCCAAGCGTCTCGTTTAAGAAATTAGGCACTGTGTGTAGAGGCATTACGCGGAGTATAAGCAGCAAGTGCTGTTCCTCGCGTAATTCCGCCACGCAACCTGGAAGCACGTGGTCCTACAACTCCTGCGAGACTGCGCCAGCAGCCAAGCGAGGCGCCCGCCTGCCCGCCCGTCGTTTGTGCTAGTGAGGGCGAAGGCAACAGCGACGGCTCCAGGTGCACAGGGCGAGTGCACGGGGTGGAGTCGGAGGTGGAGACGAAATATGGTGGAGAATGTGGGGGATGGAGTCTCGGGCAGGTCTAGGGCAGAACCGCCGCGAGGAGGTGTGCGGTTGGGCGTTCGGGGGGTGGAGCGAGCGGGGGGTTAGCATGGAGAGGAGGTAAGGGCATGGCGGGTGTGGGGGCGTTGCGTGTGTGGTGGGGTGGGGTTGTGAGATCGTGGCGGGGGTGGTGCGTGGAGGGGGGTGATGCATGGCGGGGCGAAATGGTGGGGAGAATGTGGGCGAGTGGAGGCTGGGGCAAGTCTAGGACAGAACCGCCACGAGGCAAATGTGTGCGGTTGGGAGGAGCTGTGGTTGGGGAGGGGGCTTGTGGGGACTCGTGTCGGGCGTGGCTTGGTGGGGACGTATCGGTGTGTGTGGCGTCTGGCTGTGTGGTGGCGTGTCGGGTTGTAGGGTCTGTGGCGTGTGTGGGATAAAATCTGGGGGAGAATGTGGGGGTTGGAGGGCAGGGGTAGTCTAGGACAAAATGGGACGGAGAAGTGAGCGCATTGCGGCGCCCGGAGGATGGATTCTGGCGTTGGATGAGGTAGCGTTGGTTTTGGGCGCGCAGCAAGGCGGGGAGATGGTGTGAGTGGTGCAGGCTAGCACAGGAGCGTGTTTGAAGCGGGCGGGGGGGTGAGTGGTGGGTTTGGGACGTGAGGTCAGGTGGGCCGAGGTGCACAGCGGTGGCAACAAATAGGAGCTCGGTTGTGACGGGGTTGGGAGAGGGTTTGGGAGAGGTTGGGAGGGGGTTTGGGAGGGGGTTGACGGAGTTGTGACGGGTCGGATGAGGGTTGGGAGGGGCTTGAGGGAGGGGTGACGTGCGCCCGGGAGCCCGCGTGTGCGGCAGCGCCAACAATCTGAGCGGGGCAGTGATAAACTCCACCAAGTGGCTCAAGCAGATGCTTCCCGCCCCAGTGTTTCCGCTTTCTACAGTCTTGTAGTAGACAATTCGAGAGCATCACGAGGAATTTAACGCATCGACGTGAGCACGGAACAGAAAAATTAGAAATAAACAGCAATTATGGAATTAAAAAGTCGATTCTAGCTTATTACAACACAAAATATAATATATGAAATAATTCGAGAAAATGTGCTATTATAGTACCACTAGATTTCTTTGATTTTTCACGGATAAAAAGGGATACTTAAAGGAATGGCGGAGGTGTCATTTTCGTAGATCTCTCCTGGTTTTCGAAAATTGCATGCCTGAAAAACTAGACATGGCAATTAGATTTTTAAGCGCCGGTCCAACTTAGAACAACAACTCGGAGCAGCTGCTAAGTGGCGCACGGCAAGTTACCTCGGAGGACATACGTTCGAGTCTCGGCGCGGAAAAATAATTTTTCTGGTTGAAAACACTTTTGCAGGTTTATGTAGTAGTTATATTACGGAGCTTTCACCAATATTGCGAGAAAATATGCGCGGTGTGAGCGCTACTAGTTCCTTACTAAAGACCGGTAATAATAATTTTATGAAATTTCGCCTTTCTTTGCTCCGGTACTACCTAATTTTCTCTATACTATGTCTATAGAATGCGATAATGAAACATTTTGAAAAAATTGTAGTGTAAGGGAAAACACATTTAAATTTATCCGTTGTATGATGGCGAAAGTGACTACATTTGCCAGGGCATATGAAGGCGAACCGTCCCGAAAACATATTCAAAGAAGCTGTAGCCTTTAGAACATCAATCGCAAACGTGTTCGAGGAGGCCAAATAATGGAAAATTTTCTTTCGTTAACCAGACAACAAAATTTCGAATGAGTGACTAACGGTGCTACTACACCTGACCTCGGAGGGAAGGTTAATTCAAAAATAAATTTTAAAAAATTAAAAATATTAATAGTCATTGGTCTCACATTTAGATTATAGCATAAAAGTGTTGTATTCATTATTGAGTTATATTATGTACAAAAGTTTATAGTAATCAAATATAGTACTTGCAAAACATGAGCTGCCACCCAGATCTTTCTCAAAGCAGAAACTATTATTATTATTATTATTATTATTATTATTATTATTATTATTATTATTATTATTATTATTAATTTTAAAGTGTATAATAGTTAATGAAAGCTATTACATATTCCATACCGATAAACGTATACCCGTTTGAAATGTACTGTTACAGCGGTCGTCGGATTGTAGTGATTGTAGAGATGGAACCGACAGATGAGAGCAATATTTATACTGAACTCACTTCCAGACACGGGTGTTATTCTGCATAGAAACTGAGCAATAATGAATTTATTACCAGCAAAATTCGAATCTACGATTCCGGAAATATAGTTCTTAGTGTTAATCTTGTTGAAAGTAGTTATAAATCTTTATACGCTGATAACCATGTCAACGAACAAAAAATGCCTGAAAATATTGTAATGATTTATTTGTATTGCGTTCCAATATTTTGCATCTCATTCTTCTTCGGAATTGACTATTTCATTATTTAGAAAATGATATGACAAATGTTGCATGATGATAAAAATAATTTATCGCATTGCATTTCAATGTTTGCTACTAGATTAAGCATCGACAGTGTATTAAACTTCCACAATATTGTACGCGCTTTTGCTTTTGATATTCCCCAAAGAGGAGCACAAAAGTCTTTCAAACAATGCGTGACAATATTTTATCCCTGATCCCTCTTTCAATTAACTTTAATGCAGAAGACACCTTTCAACCACTGCTTTAATCCAATGACTCTTGCTTTAGAAACCAAGAAATACGTGCAAATTCCCAACATTAATTACAGAACACGCTAATAGTCGACGTATTCCGACGGTGTAGGTTGCAGTACACTCGCTCTTGTTGGTTTTTCTGTTCTTTTTCATCCGCGGAAAGATTAATGATGGGGAAGGTGGACCTGTCAGCGAAACGTTGATCGGACCCCGAGCAGCGACGCGCAGTAGGAGGGTGGACCCAAATGTTCGGCAAAGAAGCTCCGTTCATTATAAGTTCTTCTGACTCTCTTTCTTCCCGAGGCATTTCAACATTAAAATGCTTCACCAAGGATGCAATATTAATCCAGAATTATAGGAAATTGTATTTCTAACACCAAAAGCTAAATTTACATAGTTATTGATGACATTTATACTATAGTGTTACCACTGGGAAGAATATAAATAATATCTTTGTTT